ACTTCGAATTTTACGAATATATATATACCTTGTTGGATCTGACATGAGTATTTCGGAATGACAAAGGTAAAATACCCTACATAGTATGGTGGAGGGTATAATAACTGACTGACAAAGAATCAACGCCCAGACGAAACGCCTGAAGCTAGAATCTTGAAATTTTACTCGAGGATCAGTCTTGGATCGCAGGCCTGGAATTCGTACTAAAAGGATACAAAAACTACTAAATTGTATTGTATTAAAAAAAAAACGGAGTGAACTAGAATTTTGAAATTTAGAATGTGAGTCGTTGATGGATTAATGGGTTTTGGAAATTCGAACTTTAATGTTACGGAAAGTTCTAAAATGGTACTAAACTTTTAAAATGGTACGATTTGGTGTTATGTGAACGGAGAGAGCTAAATTTGTATAAGATTCAAGGTTGGAAAGTATGAAGGTTTTGGAAATGTGTACTAAGTGTGCGAACTGTGTAATATGTGGTACTAAATTTGAGACTATTTGGTTGAGGCTGTAATTTTGAAATTTTGTATTGGAGACCGTGTTAGTGGTGGTATGTTTGTGATAAAGAGGAGGTTTTTGAAATGTGTACTTCAAGTGCACGAAAAGTACTAGTTAGTAAAATGTTTGGTACAATTTGGTATTGGGTGAACAGATAGTGCTTGAAATCTGAAATTTGATATTAGGATCGCTGATATAGACATATTAGGGTGGTTTCGGAAGTGTGTACTATAATTGTACAAAAGGAACTGAATGGAGCTATATATTGTGTTGGGTGAGATTTGCTATTTAGATTACTGATATTGTATCTGTTTTGAGATTTTGCAGTGGCTTGGAAATGCGTCCTATATTGGTGCTAAATGTACCAAATGTTAACAGATTTGTATTCGGTAAAGGAAAAGAGTTTTAATCCTGAAATTTGATATTGAGATCACTGTTGGTTTCTGGGATTCAGGTAGTGGAGTTGGTTTTGGAAGGGTGTATTATAATAGTACGAAAAGTACTAAATAGTACTAAATTTGGTTTTTGGTGAAGATATAGAGCTGGAATCCTGATGACTTTTGGTATCTTCGGATACTCACAATAAAAATTGATTTAGAGCAAGTTTTCCTTAAACACTTTTTCCAAAAACCTCAAGAATAAAGGGAGATTTTGACTTGGAACGGGAACATGTTAAAATATCAGTCGTTTTTGCCGACAGATGTATACCCTCTGGCAATGTTCGATTAATTGAATATATTTCGGCTTCTGTTGTGATTATTCAAATTGTTGACCCTCTATGGCATAGGTTTCGAAGGAATGGACCAATGTTGTCCATTTCATATCGGACCTATGACCTATCCATTTCATATTGGACTATATCGACTACTTCCTTCACTTTATATGAAATTTGTGATAACTTTTAGAAAATACAAATAATAATATTGGATACAGATAAAATATTGGAATGTGCAAAATTACAAGAAAATCGAACATTTTTGTAAAATTTTATGCGAAATCATAGATTCCATATTAATCTCAGGTTTCAGGTTGAGAGAATGATTTAGATATATAAAGTTGTAAAGAATCGCTGACTTGTTTCGTAAGTTATGACAGATTAAACTATTGAAAATTGTGACCTTTTGTGGGTGAGGTAGCGGAAGGGGTTCGCAGATATTTATCATCTTCACAACAGTGAGTTGAAGAGTGTTGGATGCTTATTTCGCTTTCTTTGAACATTGTGTTCTTCAAAATCTTAAACCCTATATGGGGGAGGTACCAGAAGGAATGGTCCGATCTCTACCACCTTCATAACAGATCTTGTGTACAAAGTTGAAGCAAAATCGGATTATCTTTTCTAGTTCTGTGCAGTAATATTTTTTATTTAAACATTTTGACCTTTTTTGGTTTAGGTACCACAAGGAGTGGACCGATATTGCTCATCTTTGAACTCGATCAAAGTTTGATAATAATATTACGATGTTTGGACCAAATCGGATACTTCCTTGGATAGATATCATGCGCACCAGCCAGCAGAAAGACTGATGGACGGACGGACATCGCTAGATCGGCTCTAAATATCTTGAAACGGATTTGGTCCAAAGAGACCTGGGTATAAAACCGTTATTTCGATGATTCACGTTTTGACTATATCAAATGATATATACCCTCTGTAGTCATATGGCTGAATGTATACAAAGTAAATGTCCTTAATTTTCCTTGTAGTCCTAAAAACTGTTGTAGGTATTTATTTAGTTATTTTCACATTTTGCGGAATTTTGACACATTTTGCCCAAAACTAAAATTTATGTTACTTTCCGGCGTCAACACGAAATAAGTTCGATTAAAATTTGATAACAAAGAAGTAAAGAAGTTGTAAGTTCGGCTGCGCTGAACATTGAATACCCTCCACCATTTGGAACGAATTTGGCAATTTCAAAAAAAAAAGAAAAATAAATAATAAATAAATAAATAAATAAAATTCCTTTAAAATTCTGTTAAAATCTTAAAAATACCGAATGTAGCCGTTATATATTAAGGTGTACACGACGACTTGTACCTGCATAGGAAATTTTTTGTCATAAGCCATTACAATATTCAAATGCGAAACTTGAAAAAAAAAAAAATCGGTGAAAAATGTAGCTAAAATCATCAAAATACCGAATATATGGAGGCAGCATTATATTTGGGGCTATACCAAAACGTGGACCTGCACAGACAATTTTCATAGCATGCAGTATCCATTACGAACTTCACATATTTGAAAACAATTCCGGTTTGAAATTTGAAACAATTCCGGTTAATTATGTCACTAAAATCATCAAAATACCAAATATCCGGAGGTACCGTTGTATGGGGCTATACGAAGACGTGGACCTGCATTGACAATTTTCTGTTTCAGACTGCAGTATACACTATGAACTTCAAATACCAAATTTCGGTGAATAGTTCAGCTAAATTTTTCAAAATACCGAATATCGGGATGCACCGTTATATGGGGGCTATACGAATGCGTGGACCTGCACAGACAATTTTCTGTCATAAGCTGCAGTATCCATTACGAACTTCAAATACCAAATTTAAAACAATTTCGGTGAATAATGCCGCTAAAATTATAAAAATACCGAATATCGGGAGATACCGTTATATATGGGGTATACGAAGACATGGACCTGCATAGACAATTTTCTGTCATAGGCTGCAGTATCCATTACGAACTTCAAATACCAAATTTGAAATAATTTCGGTGAATAATGTCACTAAAATCATCAAAATACCAAATATCGGGTGGTACCGTTATATTGGGGCTATACGAAGATATGGACCTACACAGACAATTTTCTGTTTTAGACTGAGTATACACTATGAACTTCAAATACCACTGAGTCTGAGTATACACTATGAACTTCAAATACCAAATTTCGATGAATAATTCCGCTATAATTTTCAAAATACCGAATAACGGAAGGTGCCGCTATATGGGGGCTATACAAAGGCGTGGACCTGCACGGACAATTTTCTGTCATAGGCTGTGGTATCCATTATGAATTTCAAATACCAAATTTGAAACAATTTCGGTGAATAATTCCGCTAAAATGTTCCAAATACCGAAAATCGGGAGGTGCCGCTATATGGCGGCTATACGAAGGCGTGGACCTGCACGGACAATTTTCTGTCATAGGCTGTAGTATCCATTACGAACTTCAAATGCCAAATTTGAAATAATTCCGGTGAATAATGCCGCTTAAATCATCAAAATACCGAATATCGGGATGCATCGTTATATGTGGGCTATACGAAGGCATGGACTTGCACGGACAATTTTCTGTCATAGGCTGTAGTATCCATTACGAACTTCAAATACCAAATTTGAAATAATTCCGGTGGATAATATCGCTTAAATTATCAAAATACCGAAAATAGAGAGGTATAATTATATGGGGGCTATACCAAGTAGGTCCACGTCTTGGTATAGCCCCCATATAATGATACCTCCCTATTTTCGGTATTTTGGTAATTTAAGCGATATTATCCACCGGAATTGTTTCAAATTTGGTATTTGAAGTTCGTAATGGCCCATTTTCAATTCCATAAAAAATTATCAACTTACTTAATTTCGTTCGGAAGCTAGAGTGGTTTCCACAGACGGACAAATGGACGGACGGACTTTATCCTTTTACAATGATGCTTTGATGGAGTACGACTGTAACCCATATTTAATATGTATGAATTTCTGGCGTCTAGGAAAAATTTAGGCTCTTGGCGTCTACTAATAATAATTTTGTATGAAATTCTGATCCCGTTTAAAGGCAGTTTTTAACTAAAATACCCCTTTGTTGACTTGCTATAGGGTTAAGATTTTAGTACAAAATAATCCTCTTTTTATCCTCAATATTGCCCATGCCACTACAAACTTAAAATCAATGGATTTCAAGGAATCTTGATCCGAAAATGTCGAAAAGTGTCAAAGAGGTGGGGGGAACTTCCCACCTCTATTTAGGTCGCTTTACGATTTAAGCTTTCAAAACGGCGATACACTTGTCTTCCATTTTCACGTTCATAATCTGCAGGACATTCGGTGTAATTATTGCTGTTTGTGTTGTTAATGTGCACAATTAATCGTGAAATGTTTAGGAATATTTTCAATGACGTGCTTTTTTAAGAAAATTTGGCTTCAATGTTTAAAAATATTTATTCATTCAAAATGCATCTATCTTTTGTTGATGAACTGTGTTTTGCAACTTCTTGACGCATTATCTGAGCGCTGTGGAATTTTCTGTCCAAACACTTTTTATGACATGACGTTGCATTCGCTACACCCCCAAATATAACATGTTTACGTTAGCAACAACTATGGGGTTTTCCAAAATTGTGTTAAAAATAAAGCCACTTTCAAATTATATTCTCAAAAATATTTGATCAGCTGTGTGCTAAACTTGTATCAAAAAATAAGGACGGATGAATACCAGACATAGAATTTCCCTTTGTTCCAAATGTTTTGCTTTTCGACAGAGTCGCAGATAAATTCAGTTGCAATTTTGTCTTAGCTTAAAAATGTTGAGTGTTAGGCATAATTTCACATTGACGACCTTGTTTGGTCTAGGGCTTTTGCTGTTTTGCCAACAATGTCGGGCCGTTCCGATGCGTATTTATAATGGCATCGATACCGATATTACCAATGCCCGATTTATGGCCCAGGTGAAAACTCGTAGAGGTGGTTCATTTGAATGTGGTGCTGCAATTGTGTCCAAGAAATTTGTCATCTCTGCTGCCCACTGCTACGATAACAGTGAACCGGATTACTATAAGGTCGTGGTGGGAGAAGATGAGCTGGAGAGGCAAAATTCGCTTAATAAAACCTATCCCGGCCCGACACCAAAAACCTTCCGAGTTGTGGACATCATTACCCATCCAAAATATCGTGAAGGTAAATTGGATTATGATGTTGCCATGCTGGAGCTGGATGGCGAAATTGAATTCGATCGCCTGTACATCGACAAGGTGAAATTGTGTGAAAAACCACCAAAGGCTGGGGAGAAAATGATCGTTTATGGCTGGGGTAATACACGCGATGTGACCGATGAGGAGAGTGGCACAAGTTATTCGAACAAGTTGCAACGCATTGATTCGCCTGTTATGCCACAGCCAAAGTGTGAAGAGATCCATGTTCGTGAAAATCGTCCCATTACCCATACAATGTTCTGTGCCGTTGTCGAGGATGGTAAGGATGCGTGCCAAGGTGATTCCGGTGGTCCTGCCATCCTGAATGGTGCCCTCTGTGGCATTGTTTCGTGGGGTATCGGCTGCGGCAGCGATGATCATGCTGGTGTCTACACCAGTGTTATGTCTGTCAAGAGGTTCATTACAAACACAATAAAGAAAGGTTAAAATGGAATTGAATATTTGTTTAACTCTGTGGGAGGAACATTCTTTGATTGATTTTGGGCTATAAGAATTTTGGAAGGTTTTTTGTGAATATTTTTCGGTGAGTAACCGAAAAATAATTTTTGCTGCTTTAGAAATATTTTGGGAAACGTAACGTTGATCAAGGATAAAAAATAGTAAAGACACTTTTCGAATTTTTTTTTTTTTTTTTTTTGGAATATTCGAATTGGGATTCCTTGGAATCATTGCAAATTACAATGAACAATACTAGGATTATTTCGGTTCACTAAAGGGTTTTTTCTTTTGAAAAGTCAAATTATTTTACAAAATTAATTATCATAAAATTCTTTGATAGTTCCCAGGCAACTGCAACAAAGTCAATCGCCATAATTTTTAGATTTTTTTTAAATTATAATGAAAGGAAATAGCATAAAATTTTAGAATAAGTTTAGATTGGTTTGAATTGGTCACACTTGGCACGAATTATGGCCTTCAAACGACCAATGAAACCGTCACACGCTACCCGAATGTTGCTCTGCGGCATTTTGGTCCATTACCGGCGAATTCTTGCTTGAGGTAATCGACAATTTGGTATTTTTTAGTGCCAACCTTGCTTTCCAAAATAGGAAAAATAATTCAACGGATAGGTATCCGGAGATTTTGGTGGCCATTGTGCGCTGGAAATGAAGGGAGGAACCTCATTTTGTAACCACTATTGGGTGGCGCGTGCTGAATGCGATGGTGCTTAGTCCTGTTGGAATATCCAAGGTCTGCGGCCAAAGTATTTGCGTGCACAAGACTTTAATACACCCTCCAGAATATTTTCGCGATAATATTCGATATTACTTCTGATGCCACGGTCGTTTAATACTAGCGGAGAGCTGTATCCGAATTGGCTGTTATGGCGGCCCACACCATCACCATGGCCGGCGCTTGAGTTCTGGTGGCCAAGCGAAGGTGCACATTTTCAGCTGAGCTCTTTAGCAAGTAAACAGGATCATTTTGTTTGTTTACAAACTGCTGGACAACGAATGTTTTCTCATCGGAGAAAACCAAATTCGGCAGTTCACCACTTTCGGCCAAGCGAAGCAACTCTTAAGCTGTTTTGAGTCTATTTTCTTTCGGTTGCGGTGAAAGTTCTTGCACTTTTTGGAATTTCAATGGCTTAACGCCGAGCTCATTTTTCAATATTTGCCGAATGGAATATATTGCGATATGTTCAGCTCACGAGCCATTTTTTGGCCACTGCGACGCGGGTTTCGATTAAGTCGCTTCTGTACTTTTCGAACCATTTCTGCTGATGTTGCTGTTTTCTTCCGTCCACTTCCTTGACATCGGGCTACGCTACCAGTATCACGGTAACGAGCGATGGTACGAGACTCAAAAGATTTATTCACATTTAAATGATGGAGTGCTCTAACGATAGTCACTTGTGGTTTTCCATCCAAATATAAAGAAATCACACTATCACGCTTGAATTCCATCTCAAATACCTTTTTTGTTGCATGTTGGTTCTAGACATGAGGAATTTTAAAAAATGTTCAGAAAAAAAAAAAAAAACTTTGTATTGTTAGAGCTTACATTCTAAAAGTTGGTATTTAGTTGTACCTGCCTAAATTAGTGTTCTGAAAAAATTGATTTGGTTTAACTTAAATGATATGCTAAGTGTCGAAATTTGAACTTTCTTGAAAATCTTTTCTAAAAGCCGTAATTTCTAAGGAGTTGATTGTTGTCCTAATTTATGTTAATTTATTTCCATTTCTATTACAGGTGGCGACCATGATGTCGTGTCCCCTTCCTATGTCATTATCCATAATTCCAAAGATACACAGTGATTTCTCGCCAGTACATATTGGAGTTAAGGTAAGTGTGGCTTTCTTTTCTTTCCAGCTAAGGTTATTTTGGAAAATGTCTAAGTGGAACCACCCCCTTTTTACATTTTACCGGTGATATTTTCATCCTGACAGCCACTTATCCACAAAGATCCAAATATTGGGAAATTGTTCTGAAAATTTGCCCAAATGTGTAGTACGCAGAAACCACACGTAAGTTGCACTTTTGCGACTCATAGAGAAACTTTTTGCGGAGAAGACCTATTTAAGTTTTTCGAACAACATAGAGCTAAGCTGAAGGCTGTCCTTATAAGTAGATAACGAGGCAATCGAAAAGTTATGGAAGACTAAATAAATGAGTTGAACAGAATCTTTATACGTTATCTGAAGAGAGTCTTTATTGATGAGCTAAAAAAAAGTGTCAATAGGCGACATGAAGCGAGTTTTATGGCACTTATAGACACCTAACTAAGTGGAACTAAGTCTTTATAGACACCTAAAGGGAGTGTCTATAAACGAACTTCAGGGTGAATTTACGGCGACATTACCGATGCCCTTAGGCGAGCTGAAGGGACTCTTTATAGACGACCTGAAGAGACTCTATAGAAGACCTGAAGAGGGTTTAAAGACGGCCTGAAGAGGGTCCATAGACTTATAGAAAAAACATATTTGAGTTTTTCGAACGCCAGAGAGCTAAGCTGAAGGCTGTCCCTATAAGTAGATAACGAGGCCATCGAAAAACTAACTAACTAAGTGGAACTAAGCCTTTATGGACACCTAAAGGGAGTGTCTATAAACGAACTTCAAGGAGAATTTACGGCGACATTACCGACGCCCTCTAGACGAGCTGAAGAGACTCTTTATAGACGACCTGAAGAGAGTCTAAAGACGACCTGAAGGGGGTATAGACGGCCTGTAGGCGCTCTGAAGAGAGTCTATAGACGCTCTTAAGAGAGTCTACAGAAGACCTGAAAAGTGTCTATAGACGACCTGAAGAGAGTCTTTATACGATCTGAAGATGGTCTATAGACGCCTTGAAGAGAGTCTATAGACGACCTGAAGATAGTCTATAGACGACCTGAAGAGAGTCTATAGACGACCTGAAGAGAGTCTTTAGACGATCTGAAGAAGGCCTATAGACGATCTGAAGAGAGTACAGACGACACATAGAGAGTCTATAGAAGACCTGAAAAGAGAGTACAGACGACTTGGTGAGAGTCTATAGATGACCTGAAGGATACCTTTAAAAACAACCTGAAGGGAATATTAATACCCAACCTGAAGAAAGTCTATAGACGGGCTGAAGAGAGTCTATAGACGACCTGAAGAGAGTCTATAGACGGCCTGAAGAGAGTCCATAGACGACCTGAAGAGAGTCTATATACGGCCTGAAGAGAGTCCATAGACGACCTGAAGGAAGTCCTTTATAGACGACCTGAAGGAAGTGCTTTATAGACGACCTGAAGGAAGTCTTTATAGACGACCTGGAGGAAGTCTTTATAGGCAACCTGGAGGAAGTCCTTAAAAAAACCTGAAGGAAATATTTATAGCCAACCTGAAAAGAGTCTATAGAAGACCTGAAGAAAGTATTTATAGACGACCTAAAGGAAGCCTCTAAAAACAAGCTGAAGGGAATATTTATAGCCAACCTGAAGAGAGTCTATAGAAGACCTGAAGAAAGTCTTTATAGACGACCTGAAGGAAGCCTTTAAAAACAACCTGAAGGGAATATTTATAGCCAAACTGAAGAGAGTCTTATAGAAGACCTGAAGAAAGTCTTTATAGACGACCTGAAGCAAGTCTTTATAGACGACATGATGGATCATTTGTTTCGATTATTTATTCGAAAGTGTTCCCTGATTTGTTACTTTAATTACAAATTTTATCCAATATTAACCTAGATTCCGAATAAAGTTTTAACGTAAGAGTGGTATATACTTCCCCTCTTAGCCGGAAATACAAAAATATGATGGTTTTCTTAAGAATAATTGCCTAAAATCAAACCACATTGCCTGATTGTGTTTCAAATCTTTCCCCCAGAAAGAAAACTCAAAACAAAGACGAAATTCTGGCCACAAAATTGTATTGACATAGGAATTGCCAAAATTTTGTTTACTTTATTTTAATGTTTTGTTTATGTTGTTGTTTTTAAGCTTTAGTTGTTTTCTACATAAACATTTACCTACACATGCACACTCACTGGCACACTCACATGTCTATGCCACTGTATGTGTGTGCCTTGGTACGTCTGTATATGTTTGCACATTCACTTTCGCCAAAAAAAAATGTATTTGTTTTTATTTTCGTTTAAACGAAAGGAACGGAACAATCCTTTTTCGAGTGTCAAATTTATGCAAAAAGCTTTTAGTCACAATTTGTTGCTGTTGTTTGGTTGTTTGTTTGTCTGCCCGACAAAGCTGCTGCTATTGTTGTTATTATTGTCGCCCGATTGTCTTCTCTTTTATTCATTCATTCACTTATCCTTTGTAGGAATGGAGAGGAGGAAACAAATGTCTTGTGTGTCTATGTGTTTTATATTTGCATGAAAAATATGCAAATATTCAAATTTGTTCAACAATTGTGGGAAATATTGGCAACAAACGTTGTTGTTTTTTCTAAGTGATATACATATAAGTATGTGTGTGTCTGACTACTTTCCATCAAAGACTCTGGGTGCCCTATATCCTTCATACTGAAATCACTGGGAGTTCTATTTAACTTCACATCATCCACTTAAATCGTAATGCTCCGCATGTGTTCACTGATGAAGGTATTGGGAATTCTCTCATTATCGTTGTAACGCCAAAAAGTATGCCCTACATTTCGTCACGTGCATGTGATGCAATATACTGGCTGTCATTCCCTCACTAGCTAGCATTGGCATTCGTTCAAATAAACGAACACACACACAACCAGACTACTTCTTCTACTCAGTCAGTCATTCAGTCAACCATTCTCAGCCGTCAGCCGGCATGCATATCGCGAATTTTTGTTTGTTAGTCATTCGTGATATGATATGCGCTCTAGGAGTTCCCCATGTGTAAGTGGCACACAGTGGTATGGAATCAAATAAGGAATCATTTAAATTTTCAGACATAGAGCCTGTTGATAGCCCTCTTTTGACATAAGACGTTATGGAGGTATGTTATTGACTAAAGCCCTGTAAAGGTCAT